CATACATATTGGATAAGCGCAAAGTATATACCATTTACATTCATAAAAAATATATAATAATAATAATATATTTAATATTTACACATAAGGATAATATTATTAAAAATACATTAAATTAGGCCCGACTGATCTAGAGAGCTCTGTGAAGAAATATGGCATGAAAGAGCAACTTTCGCTACAGTAGCCGAGCTGAGAGGTAGCCGTGACAGGGATCATTGTTTGTGCAGAGATTTGGACTTGAGTGATTTACGAGGGAAAGCCAAACAGATCCTTATTCATAAGGATGTCAGCTGAGATCTGTAGCAGAACTCTCTGCATCGCTGTGCCAGCTTATCCCTTTGCATCAACCGAGAGGCGAGAAGTGAAAGTGAAATGCAGGCCATAAATCAGTGGCCCGTTCTGCTCCTGTCACTGGGCCGATGCAATTGTTTTCGGGCGACATTGTGTGTGTCTGCCGATGCAGAATGCAAATGGGCAAATGGGCAACTGTTGTGCCAACACACGTTTCACATGCCCATGTCCATTTCCATTTCCAATTCCACGGGCCACTCGACGCCGCAGGAGTTGGCCGGGAAAATGTTGTGACACTGATTCAGTTGCCAGGAAAATCGCATTTGCCAACATTGCGTCGCCGTCTCTGACGGATTAGTGGGGATTACTCGACGACAGCGAGCGCTGCGTCGCGGGCGTGCAACACAAAGCAGACCGGACCCGACCGGACCACATCGGATCGGGCCGGCCCGTACCTGGTGAAAGTTGTGGCAGGTAGTTGAGCAAATCTTTTGTTAGCTGTCTTTGCGATTCTCGTGCCGTGACGCACGCAGCGCGCTGGACAATTAATTTGTGCTGCCTTTGCTAAAGTGCTGCCGAGGGGCGTTATGTTTTGCCTAGGTTTGCTATTGTCCAAGATTCTTGGCCAAGATTCTGGGCTGCCTAACGAGTAAAAGTGAAAGTGCTAAAGAATTATGCACAAGGTCAGCGGAAGATGTAAAGAAATTGAAATAAAATCAATACTTCATTAGTTGAGCTAGGCAAAAGTGGACTAGTTACCTGCAATCGAATCTTAAAGATGTAATAAAATTCTATGCAATATTATAAGATTATATTTTCGTCTAAAAGTATATCATATCATGCTTTATATATGAAAAGATCTCGAAATTGGATTATTTCAAGTACATTTATGAAGCAACACACAAAGCTCTCACCAAGCCGAATTATATTTAATTGATTAAACAAGAAACTGTCAGTTTGGCTTACGAGACAGATGGTGCCTTCAGCCAGGTTTTCTGTGGCGCTGCAGCTCTGTATCTGCCCATCAAAATTGCAAAAGTGCAGTCGACTTTGATCTGTTGTAAGAAGCGGACGCCAGAAGATGCCACAAATGCAATGCTCAGTCAATTATCAAATTAATTAGCCAAGCTTATCTAAAAGCAATGGTTAATTGCAATTGCGAATCAGGTGCATCAGGTGAGATTCGATATCGCAGTTGAAGCTCTATCAAGCTGACAGCCAGACGAGATGGGCGACTAGCTCTGCTTTACAATTTATAATCAGGCATGATGGAGAGAAACTTCAGGCTTCAGTTTCTAGAGGAGAAGTCTGACAGCTTGATCTGCTAATGAATGATTGATGTGTGTGTGTGTGTGTGAGCGTGGCGATGCTCGCGAAGAGGATTGGCAATTTGCTGACCTTGCAATTTGCATTAATCATCATTGATTGATCACTGGAGCCACTAAGTACACTCTGCTGTAAAGTCCAGATCGTGCCACTGATCGACGAGAGGCTGCTCCGGTGGTGGTAGCTGAATGTGGCACCAGCAACAGCTAAATGAGAATTTGATAGCACATGACTGACTGGCTGACGGGCAGACTGACTGACTGACTAGCTGGCTGACTGGCTGGCTGGCTGAATGGCTGAGTGACTAATTAGCGCGACGATCGTCGGAGCCACGTTGGGGCATCCGCATCCGCCTGATTGATGGCACCGCGAAATTTAAGAAGGATGCCAGCCAGCTGTCAAGTCATTGCGAAAAGGATTAGCAGCAATGGGGCGATCAAATGGTGCCGCCACAAACGCAGCTTCCAGAAAGCCATGGCCGTTGCCATGGTCGTGGCCGTGGCCACATTATAATAAAGTTGACACTGCCGACTTGCCGGCACGATGATGGATCAGAGTATATCGTGTGCTTGCCCCAAGATGTTGCCACAGCCCAGTCACAGCCTTTGCGCCGGCCTCTGCCAAAATCAACGCCGACCCAACTCCAGCATATTCCATCAGCTGTCACAAAATATGTCACTGTCAGCCGGAGATGAGATTTGCGCAGAGAGTTCTTTGGAGCTCTTCTTCTTGCTCATCTTAAAAGAGTTCTCTGACTGCGCTGCACTTTATATTTTTTTTTTCGGGCGCGTTTTCGTTCAGATTGACAAGGGAACGCTGCTAATCCAATTTAATTTGAATGTCAGTTCGTCTGGAAGACAAGAGAAACAACAACAACAACAACAACTAACATAAGTACAACAACCAGCAGTCGGCATTTGAAGTTGAGTTCGTGGATCTCCTCAAGGAATTAAGAACTTCTGATTTGCCTCTTTCACTCTTTCGACTATTTTTGTGTCGGCGTTTCAAATTTGTCGGCAAACGCGATTCCGGCTTCAGCTGCCTTCACTACCCTCTCTCTATGCCACGTAGCAGTTCGACTTAATTTGGTTCAGTGCATTTTTGCGTAATTTTGTTTTCGGCGAGCCCTGAATGCAAAACAAATCATTTGATATACCCAAGAGAAAAAACCGTCGAGCAGTCAACAGAAGCTGAAACTAAATTGTATGAAATTCGATATTATTTGCCCAAATTATATCGCCGATCGATCGCCAGCAGCCACAGAGCCAGCACAGTAGTTTGTTTGGATCGTCCAAGCCCGATTTAAGTTGCTGTGATTTCAGTAGCCAATGCACAAAGTTTAACGGCATCGAAATCGAATTAGGATTTACTCTCAAAGATTAGTGGCTTTTGATCTCATTTGGGAAGAATTTAGAAGAAAGAAATTTTTTGGAATAAATTCATTTTTAAGACTTTAAACTTAAATATTAAATTTATAATTTAACTTTGTTATCAAGTAAATAAATTATGTGATAAAATTAGTCTTGAGCAATCTAGGGATTAGAAAACCTTCTTAGATATTGATAAGGTAAATATATTGGAAAAATAGTTCATAAATATTTTGATATACTTAAAATCTTTGTTCAGAATTTCCACAGTAGTTTGACGAGAATAAGTTAATTAATATTAAAAAATTATACATATTTTTTTGCTTAATTATCTTAATTTTATAATATGTTATATATTTTCTTGCTGCATTTGGTACTCTTTTCAGTTAACAGCTCAAAATTGAATACTGTGATTTTTCTATCGGCATTTCATATTCTATTTGCTGAATGCAGAGACCTAGACCTCGAAAATGAAGCAATTCAGGACTAAGAAAATATTGTTATAGATAAATATATAATTACTAATATTTATAATAATAATATACTAAAATTATATTAATTATCGTAGACTAATTCTAATAATATATTCATGAGTTAAGCTCATCTTCTATACAGATTCGATAATTTCAAGCCTTTTGATCACTGCAGATTCTTTAATAGGCTGCTTTCTGCTAATCACATTGTCACATGGCTGCTGGCCAAACTTCAGCAGCTTCGATGGCTGTGAAACGAACTCATTACGCGAAACTGAGAGCCCCAAAACTCTCAGGCACTCCTGAAAAGTGTCGCGATGCTTATCAGCGCTTCCACCAAACTTTGAGACTGATAAAATATTTAAAAAAAGAAACAAAAACCTGGCTCTACACTCTACTTCACGGTTGCTGCTGACAGGCTCCAACCAGCAAAGGAGGCTTGGAGAGCAGCAAAAAAAAAGTTGATGTTGCTGGCGACGCGTTTATTTAAAAATCGATTGCATCAAAACGTCCAGAAAGGAAGGCAGCAGCAGCTGAAGCAACAGAGAGATGGAGGTAGAGTTTCAGGTACCACAACAATGGGACAGACAGAAGAAGCTGCAACGGCGTAGCCAATGCAGCCGAGTGATAGACAGACACAAAACACAAGCCCAAATTCCAGAGCACAGGCTCCAATAAATTTCGTTAAATGCGCACGCGTGCGAGAAACAATCCCAGTGGATGATGACGCTGAGGCTGGAGCGAGCATCGAGCATCGAGCATCGAGCATCGCGCATCCAGCTGAGGACCGAGCCGAACGAAGCCAAGGCAGTCGCAGCTAACTGGAGAAGCTGCTGCAGCTACTAACTCAGTTAGCGGCAGACAATTGCGATGGACATCTCTCTCGCTGGGTCTCAATCGATGCCCCCGATCGGCCCCGCTCTGGCGACTCCTAACAAGCTGATGAGACATGAACGCGCGCGCTTACCAAATTCCAAGATGTCAACGCAAAATCACATTGTGCGCCATTATTTCCTATACGCTGAAGGCATCTGGAGCAGGCCCAGAGTCCAGAACCCAGAGCTCAGAGTCGGGACTCGAGACTTTCGGTTCTGGTAGCTGCAGCTAATGCTATGCAGTGTCGTCGTGTCTCATATGCCATAAACATAAATAAAGGCACCTACTCCGGTCTCCTTCAGGCTGGCCCAAGAAATGGCTCGCCAAAAATGTCACATCGGCTGCAACAACAACAATAATAATCTGAATGCTGCATCGTTCAATATTGAGGCTACAATGATGGAACAATACGCGCTGCTAGAGCTGCCAATGTTGGGGTATATGAATTGGAAGCAATTGATATATAGATAAATCCGACTGAGCGTCTGATGATGGGAAGTCAGATAAGTTGCATGATATCCTATAGAAGCGAGCGCTAAATTTAATTAAAGATTTTAAAGATATTATAGTTGGATGAGTTCCAGGTCTTCTTTATATATAGGTTGTATATATAGCATTCATATTTAAGCAATTGACAATACAATTACTCAATGAACCTTAGTATTGATTAATCCGAGTTATTTTTCGTCTGTGACGGTTGCAACTGATTCAGTTCTGTTTCATCCAGCTCTGAGCTAACGGGCATATCTACAGCAAACGATACTATTTGATCGCCAGGCACCATGACATTCCCATAGGCAATTGGCTCCACATCGCCAGGCACAAATGTGTCACAATTCGCGATTATGAGATTTTTATCGTGATCCGTGCAGCTGAATATACCCACCAACACCAACTTGTTCCTCAATGTGATCCTCACCATTCGGCCAAGCCATTTCTTCAACTTTTCTCGACCAGCAGAAAGAACTTGATCTTCCGGCTGATCGGGTGCATTAGTGAAAATAATTGGCGTAAATTTTGATATATTTTCAGGTATTGTAGACGATTCCGCGACTTCCGTGGTAGACATGTTATATACATAAATTATTTGAACGATTTTTGTTCTTTAAAACTTGCTTTCTGTAGGTAGACTACATTTTCTAAGGCTAACTTGATATAACTAATGTAAAGCTAATTAAAAATATGGAAATGAAAGTAAAAAGTAACGACCATAATAATGACAATGACAATGACAATGACAATGACAATGACAATGACAATGACAATGACAATGACAATGACAATGACAATGACAATGACAATGACAATGACAATGACAATGACAATGACAATGACAATGACAATGACAATGACAATGACAATGACAATGACAATGACAATGACAATGACAATGACAATGACAATGCAATGACAATGACAATGACAATGACAATGACAATGACAATGACAATGACAATGACAATGACAATGACCATGACAATGACAATGACAAAGACAATGATAATGACAATGACAATGACAATGACAATGACAATGACAATGACAATGACAATGACAATGACAATGACAATGACAATGACAATGACAATGACAATGACAAAGACAATGACAATGACAATGACAATGACAATGACAATGAAAAACTTAATCATAATTGAAATTGGTTCAGGAAATAAAAGTAATAACAATGGTAAGACTAATGATAATGATAATGAAAAAATAATTCATATTAATATTAGGCTAATACCTTTTGAGCGCTTTTCCACGAGTAATTCCAACCAACTTCGCATCTTCATGAGTGGCACCTCTGGCCATTGGTTAGTTTGAGTCTGCTTATATGCTAATTCCGTGGCAAGGCCCTGCAATGGAGACCCTAGTCCGGTCTGGTGTGCTGGCGGATTGAGCGTATCGCAGACGTGGATATCGGGGTCGCAAATCTTCGCATTTGCCCAAAAGCTGCACACAATGCGAGGGGGCAAAAAAAGTGTCGCCATCCTTTCGGGCTTGTAAAAGTCGCTCGATCGGCACATGCAACCGTTGCAGTTGCAGCAATGCAACGTGCGCGTCTTCGACAGCCCCAAACAACAACAACACGAATGCTTATACACGTTGTTAGCGTGTCCGTCCAAGTCTGTCCGTCCTTTGATGACCACAACAAACTGAAAGCCGGCACAAGTTTGCAGTCGTCTGCGCAACAGTTCAAAGTTTTGAGGGCCCGCTGCCAATGCCAATCGGATCGCAGCGAATAAGGTAGCCGAGCCACAGCCAAGTAGCCAAGTGAGTGGAACTTGGCCAGTTGCAATTGCTGCTGCCATCGACGGCAACAGCAGCATCCCAGATCTGTGATCTCGAAAAAGTTGCCAGCTCTGCAGCAGCGGCTGCCACATCGAACAAAAGCATTCGGCACAGATCAAATTGGATTTACATTGCCAATTGCCCCGGGTGGCTGCTACGACTAACATATGCAGCTTGTAACGCCTCTCTATCTCTCTTCTTTAACAGGGCTGTTGGCATAGTTGAGTAATATTACAACCAATTCTCTGTTGCAGTGTCTAAAGGTGTCTATGCAATGCAAGCTGAAAGTAATTATAGTTTGAGAGCATAGAACCCAAGATCTTTTCAGTCCTTAAACTTACAACTCATGCTTGAGTTATTCTTCAGCTTTGACCATCACACAATCAGCACAGATTGTTATACTTAAAGGGTATTTGGGCGTCTGCTTAAAATCGATTTCACGTTTCAATTTCGCGCTGCTGCTGCTGAATAAAAATGAAAACACAACAACAGCTCCCGACATTGGCGATCGATCGCATTTGATATATTTGCTCCTCGAGCTGTGTCTGTGGCTATGGCTGTAGCTGTGGCTGTGGATGTGGATGTGGCTGTGGTGGCGATGGCGATGGCGTCGTCTGAAGCTCAGGCCTCAGCGTGCACTTTTCTCCAGTTGCTTTGTTGTCCATCCGCCGTCGTTCGCTGTTGCTGCTGTTGGTAGCTGCTGCAGTTGCAATTGCCGTTGCCGTTGCTGCAGTTGCTACACCTTCGCAGTCGGCCGCTGCCGATGCCAATCCTTGGGCTTAGGCCGTGGCTGGACGTAGTGTTTATGTCGTTTATGTGAAATATCAGCTGCTCATGTTGAGAATGTTTGCTGCCTTGTTGCGTCTGCCACTTTTTGTTGCAGTTGTTGTTGTTGCGATGTTGCTGTTGCTGTTGCTGCCGTGGTTGTCGTTGGCGTTTGCTGCTTTGGCCTGCAGCTCCAGCGATCGTTTTGTTTATGGCACTGGCAGCCATTGGTCAACGTGGCTGCTGCTTGAATTTCAAATCACATGCCGCATGTTTGTTACCCACACGCCAGTTGCCACTCGCCTGTTGCCACTCGTTGCGCGGCAATAAAGTAAATTATTGCAAAACGCTGGCGTTTATTTCTATGCATAGATTTGCACCACATTTCGGGCTTTTGCACTCAATAAAACTTTAAATAAATATCGCAGCAACGCGCCTATCCGATCACACATCGAATTGATTGTGCTCCTTGTTAGGGTCAATCGTTTGCATCGACTATGTGGGCAACGCATGTTGCCCCAGCACACACACACACTCACACACAAGATGATCTGCAGCACTATTTCTATAACTGAGCAACAGAATAGTAACATGATAGGTAAGGCAACTTTTTAGGGGTATTACTTAGAAAAAAGCTAAGGATGCTACAGTTTTACAGGGTATTAATTAGAGCTTATCATGCATGCAGGTTTAAGATTCGTTCCGTTAGATTGTTTTTTTGTTTCTATTGACTCAATTATCATTACATTATTGATCAGAATGTATGACTGCCTCAAGCTCAGAACCCAAAAGCTTGCCTCAAATAATCAATAACCTTTCTCGTTTTAATAAACTCGAATAAAAACTTGATCAGACTTGAGTGTTTAAATTACTTTTATTTTTAATCATAAATTTCTTAATGCATCAAAATTATTGAATTGAACTTGAGGTGGAGCTTACGTTTCTTCTGATTTGATATAGTCGTCCACTACCGACCAGAGCTTTTTATTTGCTCTACTTATTTTTTCTCAAAGAATATGTTGTTTCTTATTAATATATTTTTTTTTAATTATAAAGGACATTGAATATGTTAAGGAAAAAATAGAATATAATTCTTGCTTGATGGAAAACGTTTCATATTGTAATCATATTGTAATATCAAGTATCTTTAAGGCATGGAAGCATTCAAAGCAGTGCTTCCATGCCTTAAAGATTCTTGATATCGAATCCTTAATTTTCTAGCAAAAAAGTCTCTGTCGTCATACCTTACCAGATGCTCCAAATCCACTTAGAGCAATCTTGAAAGCCTTAAGCATGAATAAAATTTTATGTATTTATATATATATTTTTGTATATTTGATGAATTCTTTTGCCGATTCTATTTTATAACAATTTCGTCTCGATTTATGAGTTGTTTTAATACGAACACAAATTGTGTCGTCGCATTTATTTTTGGCGATTATTTATGAGTGCGCGGTCCAGTCTGTCGACTGTCCCGCAGCGGCAATCGGAGCCATTTAACGATGCTCAACTCAGAGAGAGAGAGGTAGATACTTATAGCTGCTATCAGATACATTTGTATACGTACAGCAGAGTGCGAGATGCATTCGCTGCTGGTTTAGCTAAATGTCTTGGGCGTTTAGACGCTAGGAACCAGCCTGGCCTGCTATGGCCTGCCATGGCCTGGCCTTTTGTTCTAATTTTGTAAGACGTCGCATAATGAAATGTTTTTCGCTCAATTTGAAAATGTTGTTCGCTATAAAACAAATATATGACAGGCACTGGCCATAAATATGCTTAGTTTCAGTTTTCCATTCGCTCGGCCCAACGAGCTGATTCAATGATGAAATTGTCGCCGGGCGACAAAACGTCGCGACCGACTGGCAGCCACAAAAAAGCAACCAAAATAAAATATAGATATAGATATATATATATATAAATAGTGGGTGTTTCTATTTCTTCGATTGGCTTGATTGTGATTTACAGCAATTTTTATATTTATTCAAATTTCTTTATAGATATGTGTTCACACACACACGCGAGACGCTGTCCCAAAGTGCTCAACATTTTGGGGGCAGATGTGTTTATATTCGTTTTATTATGTAAAATGCCTTTCACGGCCCATCAGCCCAACTCATCAGCATTAAATTATGCAGCAATCAAACACTGAATACGGATACCAGAAAAACAGTCGAAACGAGCTACCAAATTCAACAAGGTCTCTTATCTACAGACACTACTAATAGATCTTCCTCAGTCTGCGTTCATCTCCTGCAGAGTCTCGCGCAAATAAAGACATTTAGAATGTTTTTTTTTTACTATTGCAAGCAGCAGTAATTTCAATTCACACAAAAAAACAATATTATGTGTTAACACTTGCACAGTGGTATGAGATGCACAATTATCGAATTAAATCGAAAGTTATTTATTTTAGGCAAATGGGTAAATGAACGCAAAGATTTTTAATTGTAAAATTTTAATTATACACAAATTCATTTTATTTAATTATTTATTTTTTTTATTTATTTTAGTTTAAGAAAGAAAATCTTTCTTCATATCTTTCAGATATATTCAATAAAATAAAAAATGTTTATGTAGAAAAAAAAAGATATTAATGTATTGATTAGAATAGAGGAAAAATACATCAATTAATAAAAACTTATGTAGATCCATATATACATATTGCATTTCATTCACTTTTCTATGGTACTCGTTGCACTGTGATCTATCGCTCAACAAGCATTGAACTTGGATGAATGCGGCGTTGCAGCGACTCTACCACGAAGCGGCATTTGTCTTGACTGCTGCTCGCATTGTTCGGGCCTTCCCCTACCCTGCAGAGAGAAAGAGTGAGTGGGGGATCGATGGGGCGTGGAGCAGTGGCATGTATTTGGGGCAGAGATACACGCAAATGCAGCCATCCGTCAGTTTTTAATATTTTCCATTTGTTTTTCACTTGTTATTTATTGGTTGGCTCTGCCTCTGGCTGTGGCTCTGGCGCTGGCTCAGGCAAAGTGTCAACTGGGCGAC